TGGCCCGGAGGCTGCCGGTCCCGCCCCGCGGCCCAGGCCCCCTTTGTGACGCAAGCTGCCGGTTTGTGGTAGTTCTTGGTGGGAGCGAGTTCCTTTGAGGGGAGGAACCTGAATTCAGGATTAGGTAACTGACCTGAGGAGGTGGGTGAGAACTGAGAGGGCGGGAGAGTTCTGGGGGACCCCGACGCCGGGATCCTGTCCCTAGTGAACCGCCTCTGTGACCTCTTAACTGTAGAATTGGCTGCTCCATTCCGTTTCTGTGGAGATCTGAGGTAGGCACTAAGGCCCGAGGAGGGGCAGTATTTATGGGTACGAGGCCTGGTAGAGCCAAAGCCGGGTCGGGAATCCAAAGTAAAGGAGCCCGCGCACCCAGAGCCTTGGCTCTCGGACCTGACTCAAAGCGACGCTGTTCCCTGGCAGTCATTTTCTCACCCATAAGTACCAGAGAAGTTCTCAGATCTGTCAGACTGGAGGAGGGAAAAAAGAGGATTTGAAGTTAAGGACTGCGGACAGGATCAACTGTAATTGGATAATATTCAGTTTCTTTATTTTCATCAGAGTGATTCGCAGAAGCAGTGAAAGCAGTGAAGAACCCGGCCAGGGAAAAGTGATTTCTAAAGGATCGAAGCTAAGGCTGGAACCAATGTTCTGGCAACAGGGTAATACCATTAATACTGATCAGTAATTGTCTTTTATTGTCAGTGTTCATCAGTTTATATTGAAGATGGAAAAAAACATTGTATTAGAGAAGAAACACTCAAGAAAAATTTACAATGGTTGTAATATTAGATGGTTATTTTTCATAGTAATTATGTAATGAAATTACACTTTCACTGTCTTCTATGTTAGGTAGATTTGTCAGTTTATGGTTCCAGGTGAGTAAGTGCACGTGTCTCCTTCAGAACATTTTTCATAACTGCCACTCTTAAGGTAGGTATATTGTTTCATAGAGAAAGTAAGCATTCAGTTTCTGGAGCCTAAAACTATAATTTTTGGCTATTTTCTCTTGTAGGAGATGTTTACAGATAAGCAACCTGGCTCAGAGAACTGGAATCCTTTGATTTTATGCTCTAAATTGCCTATCTCATCTATGGAGCACTTAATATATATTTTATGTAGTTATAAATTTTGTGCATATTTATTTATGTGCATACCTGTGTACTCAAAACACACTGCTTTTTTCCAACCAAAGCATTAGGGAATATGTACTGTATAAAATCTTTGTGACCTTTGCATCTATCATATAGATACTTGGTTGTGATGTTTTAGTGATGCTTAATCCGTATTGTATCAAGGAGAAAAAGCACAAAGTCAAGTTTCAGATTGCCCAATTGCATATTTATTTCCTCTTTCAACAAGTATTTATTAAATACTTATTGCATGCCTGGGCACTTCTCTAGCCACTGGGGATATAGCAGTAAACCAGAGAAAGAAGGCAGCCACCAAAGGTGGTATGTGTTTTTCCTCACAAAATTTATGTTCTGGTGTGAATTTTCTCCAAACATTCAAACGAACTGTGTTATACTGACTCAAGAATAAACAATAGATTAATGAGATTACTTTAAGTAGAGTCCAAAATATTCCATGTGTATGTTTGTGCATACTTAGGGTTTAAAAATGTGACGTTTCAGATTGTTTTAATATGTTCTAATTAGAACCAGTTACCTCAACAATTTATGACTGTTGTGGGCATTTGTTCATTACCAATTTATAACCTCATCTAACTTAAAATATTTGGCTAGATTCCTATCATATTGTAAAAAGTTAAAAAATATTTTACTGTTGAAGATACAAGTAAAAAAACACAGAAACACTAAAAAAGATTAAGAGCATTTTTTAGCTCTTATTGAGTTTGTTGGTACTTTTTAAGAATACAGTACAGTAACATTCATCATTGGGATCTTGTACCTTTATGTGACAGTTCTTGGTTCTCATTTTTTCCCCATACTCCTGCCCTCCCTTCATCACCTCCACCCTCCCCTATTTAAAAAGATTTTATTTCCATTTTTTCCTTTTCTCATATTTTTTCCTTGTCCCTTATTTCCTTTCCCCTACCCTTCCTACTACCCTTCCTTAGCCCTTTACTTCCTATTTCACATTATCAATTATACAATTTGGATCTTATTTACACTTGTAGTTTTGCATACCAGAGAAACTGTTCAGTATTTACATTTGTGTGTCTTATTTATTTGTATTTATTATTTATTTCATACTTAAGAGTATGGCCTCGATATGCATCCACTTTCCTATGAATGACTCTAGCTTCTCATTCTTTATGGCTGAGTTGTACTCCATTTTATAGAAAAACCACATCTTTTTCTAGTTTCCAGCTGATGGGCAATTGGTCTGTTTCCAAATTTTAGCTACTACAAACTACTGCTATAAACATGGGCACACATATATCACTGTAGCTCTTAAGATAGACTTTTTCTAAGCATGACATAAGGCAGAAGTCATAGAGGAAAACAATTTTTATATGTAATTACATAAAAATTATAAGACTATGGAAAAGACACCATAATCAAACTTTAAAAATAAATGGCAGTGAAGGTGAAAATTTTTACAGCCAATATAAAAGACAAAAGGTTCATGTCTATATATGAAGAACTCTTATAGAAAAAAATATAACAAATTTTAAAAAGAACAGAAAGTACATAAAGGAAAAAATGGCCAGTGAACATAAAATGTGGCTGACCTCCCTAATACTCAAAGAAACAAAACAATGCTATATTAGTTTTCATTTGACATTGGCAGTAATAGAAGATTGTGTTGTGTGTGGCTGAGGCATGAGGATCACAACTTGAAGCCAAGCCCGGGAAAGGTATCAATTTAGTGAGATCTAGACTCAAAAAGGGCTGCAAATGTACCTTTGTGTGAGGGCCCTGGGTTCAATCCCCAGTACCAGACAAAAAAAAAAAAAAAGGAAGTGTATAAGTGAAGCTATAGTAAATAGTAAAATGAACACACCCTTGTATATTATTGGTGGAGGTATAAATCAAAATATTTTCTTTGGCAAAAAGTTGATAGAATATAATCAAAATTTGAAAAATATATATATTCTATGACTCAGCCATCCAACATTAAGGGAAATTTATCCTACAGGAATATTAACATGAGCACAGAAAGGCACTAATACTCATTACAGCATTAGTTATTATAACTACCTTAATTCTTTCCAGTGAAAGGGATGTTTAGATATATTTTGATACACTCTTCCAAAGGAAGTATAGCATAACAGCCATTGGAAAGAAAGAAATAATTATACGCACTATCTTGGAAAGTTCTTTGGCTACTGTGTACTAGAGTTGTACTGGGTTTTCTTAAAATATTTTCAGTAAATTTTAATGAATTATATTTCACCTAATAAAAGATAATTTTTTGATTTCTGTATTATATTTAATTCTTCAGTATAAAGAATGGATCATGATGCCAGATATAAAGAATAGGTAGCTTAAAAAGTGAATTATTCTAGAATTGTGCAGATTAGAGAGTAAATGTATAACTCCTAGCACAATTCCTGACTCTTAGTAGATAATCGCCATACTCACTATAACTGTTAAATGTAGCTAGAGTGATCTAGAGTTCTTTTACCTTTGCACTTGGCTAGCAAAAACAGTTTCCCTACAAGGAAAACCAATAAACAGAATTACCCTTTACTTCTTAAGGCAAGAAAAGCTAAGTTTTTCGCTTATATTGGTCTTATATTTTAAAAGTTATTTGGGGGGGAGTATTTTAGGGCTTTTTGATCTTTATTTTCTGATTCTCTTAAAATATAGGTGATTAAGAAATGAAGCCAACAGGTACAGACTCAAGGATATTATCTGTAGCTGCTGAAGTTGCCAAAAGTCCTGAACAGAATGTGCCTGTTATTTTGTTGAAGTTAAATGGTAAAAAAATAATTTTCTGATTAAGTACACTTTAAGTTAAAAACAATTCTGTCCTTGAAAATATTAACATTAGTTTCTTGTTTAGAGAAATCTTAATGTGATATAGCAGTAGTTTTTCCCTTTTAATACAGTTTTTCCTTTTTAATACTGTTCAAATTTAAAAATCAAATTGCTCTTGGATGTATTAAGCTAAAATAAGTATGTCTTATTTTCGTTTGCCTTAGAAATAATAAACACACCATTAGGAAGCTCAGAGTTGAAGAAAATCAAACAAGATATATATTGTTATGATCTCATTCAGTATTGCCTCTTGGTCCTTGGGCAAGATTATTCTCGGATCCAGGGTGGTTGGACTACAATTTCTCAGCTTACGCAGATAGTAAGGTAAAATGAAACAATAAATCAGCCTGTTCTTGAGGAATTTGTATTTGTTTCTAATTTTCAACATTTGCTGCTTTCTTATTCATCTTCCTAACAATAATCTGAATCTCCTTTGATAGGTTTTATTTGTACTTTTCTTTCATACTGTAGTCTGCAAGAAAAATGTATATACACTACAGGAAAAGAAAAACTTGACTCGTTTCTGTTTAATTTTGAGCCACGTGACTTCCATTTTCCTGAAGGGCTGATGTGTTAGTTTTTAAAGTATGTGTATCCTGCACTTAGATACAAACAAGGTCCACACCACAGTTTACTTCTCTAGAAAGTTGTTAGTTTGATTTTACAAGTTATTTATTGGCTTAGCAACAGAAGATTGATACTAAAGATTCTTAAAGTCCTGTGTCTATAGAAATTTAATATTCAGTTGAAATTTTGATTAACAAAAACTTGTGTTCTTGTTTTAGCCACTGTTGTGTGGGCTTAGAGCCAGGAGAAGATGCAGAAGAATTTTACAAGGAATTGCTTCCATCAGCTGCAGAAATTTTTTTAGTTTTGGTGAGACGATTGCAAGCATGTTTTATCAATGCAACTAAGGTATGTGTTTATTTAGTGTTTTGTAGCCAATCATTTATAAATTCTTGAGAAGCTGTTCCATGTTTTTATTTTTTTAATTTTTTAATTTTTTTAATTGAATTTATTGGTGCTTTTTAAGTATACAGTACAGTTACATTCATCATTAGGATCTTGTACCTTTACATGATGTATCTTGATTCTCATTTTTCCCCATATCCCTGCCCTCCCTTCACCCCCTCCACCCTCCCCTACTTACAAAGACTTCGTTTCCATTTTTTCCTTTTCTCATATTTTTTCTTTTTCACATGTGCAATATTTGACTGAAAGTATAGAGAAATGAATTTATATGTTTTTAAATTTACAACAAGAAAATTTTAGCTGGGCATGGTGGTGCATGCCTGTAATCCCAGCACTTGGGAGGCTGAGGCAGAAGGATTGCTGTGAGTTCAAGACCAGCCTGGGCTACGTAGTAAGTTCCAGGTCTCTCTCAACTACATAGTGAGACCCTGTCTCAAAAAACCAAAAAAAAGAAAAAGAAAAAGAAAATCTTCTCTACATTTGAAAAATTTTAAATGCTAGTTGAAACACTTTATATGACTTTTTAAAGAGTCTTCCTTACTAACTTAGGGTTTTATCCATAGGTACTTATATCCATAACATCTTTCTGACACATACTTTCTCCTTAAATTATATTGTCATTACCTTCTATACATGGAGGAAATTTAGTATTCTAAGCCTAGAACATTTCTTAGTAGCTCCCATGGTGAAGAACAACAAAGTTATTTTTTTAATTTGATTTTTCAGATCTCTAATCAACATTTCATTTTAAATGTTGAACTCTTCAATAATTATTTCTTAAGTGGATTGTGTTGCATACTGTATATACTCTTTTTTTTGACACCTAAGTTTAGAAATATGTTGTTTAATTTTCAAATATTTGAAGATTTTCTAGGCTCTTTGTTACTAAGTTCCAATTTAATTTTATTGTGGTGAGATAATATCCTCTAAATCATTTAATCTTGTGAATATTTTTTCCAGACTCATTTTATGGCCCTCCATGTTTCATCTTGGTTTATTTTTCCTTTCTTCACTTTAAAGATTTTGTTCTATTTTCTTCTTATATATATTGTTTCTCTTGTAAATTCATCCTTCATTCTTATTGTGAGCCTTCAGTCTTGTTATCTATTTATGCAACTTTTTTTCTGGCTGCCTTTTAAGACATTTTTATTTTCTTTGGTTTTCAACAATTTTTCTTTGATGAACTGTGGTTTGGATTTCTTTATACTTATCTTGCTTGGGATTTTCTCAGCTTTGTTTATCTGAGTTAATATATTCATTACATTAAGAATATTTTCAGCCACTATTTATTCAAAATTTTTTTTCCTGCTCTATTCTTTTTCCTTTGATCCTTCATATTCTTTTTTAAATCTCAATTTCATTTATTTTCACTCTGATCTTTATAATTTCTTTCCTTCTGTTAGTTTCAGAATTGAATTGTTCTTGTCTTTCTAGGACCTTAGGATACATCACCAGGATATTTATTAAGGATTGCTCTGTTCTTTCAGTGTGTGCATTCACAGCTATAATTTTCCCTCATAGAACTGATTTCATTATGTCTCATTGTTTTGGGTATGTTGTGCTTTCATTATAATTTGATTCTGGGAACTTTTTTATTCCCTGATTTTTTCTGTGATCCATTGTGTTTCCTAATCTCCATGTGTTTCTTCCAAGCACTCTCACTTAATGTTCCCCCTTTAAGGCTACTGATAATTATTTCTTGTCATTTATATAGCATACATTAATATATATTATTAAACTACATATGAATATTTGATCTAATTAGTACATATTCCTTATCTGAAATGTTTGGGACATCTACATGTGATTTTCAACCCTAGCTGCAAAACAAAATCACACACCCAACTTTGTGAAACTACAGATGTTCACACTTCACCTTTTGAGATTCAGATTCAATATATTTGGACTAACACCTGTGCACAAGTGTGTTTTAAAACTCCACAGGTGATTCTTATGCATGGCAAGTGGTAAGAAATCCTACTGTATATACTGGGAGTGTATAAACTACTTATCTTATCTGTTCATGTTTATCATTTCATTGCTAGAAGGTAAAGTAAGTGTTAATATACTGGAACTACAAGTTTTACAAGTGAAGACACTAAAAACTACAAGATCTTGTACCTCATAAATAGCTGTTAGATATGAAAACTGGTTTCTTCTCTTCTGGCTCCCCAGAGAGAAGTCTTTTGTTTAAAGCAAAGTACATAAAAGTAAGTTGGGTTTTTATTTTTGTGTTAAGGGTGAAGAAAAAGATGAATTACTACACTTTTTCCAAATTGTGACTGATTCTCTCTTATGGCTATTGGGAGGCCATGTTCAACTCATACAGAATGGTAAGATAAAAGGTTTTAATGTAACAGATAATCATAGAATCAAACACTAACAGTTTGACTTTAAAAAAAAATAAGTACCTTGTAAACTATACATATAACCATAGTGGAGTGAAAGCATGTTTAAATAACCCCACAATTTAAAAAGAACCATTTGGATATCCCAGATTTATACAATAAGCACTGACAAGATGAATATTGTATTAAAGGGAATTTGCCAAGACATATCTTTCTTCTTAGCTGCTTCTATTTAGTAAATCTGCAGTAAGGGTCAACTGAACAGTTTAGTCTAAGAAAAATTTAAGTTTCAAAGATTGCATTTAGATCTACTGTGAGAGAAATCCCTATGTATGGAGTAAATATGATTTTACTCATAGCTTGGCTATAAGAGTAAGTTTTATATAGTGCTTGCTGCGTCATCAGTACATATACTAAAATTGGAATCATACAGAGAAGATTAGTACAGCCCTATATAAGAATGACACGTAACTTCGTGGGGTGTTTCATATTTTTTGTGAATAGTTGCAAAGTAAATCTGAAAAACTATAAAAATTGTGTTTATGTAATAAATATTTTCCAAAGATGAAAGCTATTGACTGAAGGAAAATGTGTATTAAATATATTAAATAAGATGTTATAGGGGCCTGGGGACTTAGCTCAGTGTTTCCGCTGTCTGCCTCGCAAGCACAAGGACCCAAGTTTGATCCCCGGTACCCCCCAAAAAAAAGTTACAAAAAAAAGAGTTTTATATAATAGCATTTACGTGAGAAATATAAATATGTTTTAGTTTTATATTGATTTCTTAAAACATCTTTGATGATAATCATGGCACAATTCCTATTCTCTTTAAAAATTTTGTCTAATATAAACATGAAACTATAATTTTTTAAAACTTTTTAAAGTTAGAATTAAATTTTTGTTTTTGATTCCATTTTTTTCTTCAGAATCATGCATGCACAGAGAGTCAAATATTTTGCAAGTTTTGTTAAGAAAAATATAATCCTTGACTCTCAGGCCCATTTCATTTCCCATTTTTCGAGAGAAACTACTTTCAATTAGTATAACTAATACTCTTGATAGTTAGATCTATATAGCTAAATAATAATCCTAAATACTTTCTAAAAGCATTTTCTATTACTTTTTCATTGTGGAACAAATATTATTATTATAAGTTCCCTAATTTTTAAAGAACTGTTTAACCAGTAATAAAAAGTGGTACCTCAGTTCATGAACTTAATTAGTTCCATGACTCTGGGAAAGATGTCTGCGTTTGTGTTCAAGGTTAGGGGGAAGATTGCCTCATTCGTCATCCAATGTGGAGTTGGGGAACAGATGCAAAATTTTGCTTAATGCTTTTGTTCACCCCCTGAATTTTTCGCAAACAGAAGCATTCATTAACTGAGGTACAGCATTAATATAATGTACTTAGGACTATGAATTTAAAAACCTAGTAAAAAGAGAAAATACTTGAATAATTTCAGAAATATACTGTATTCCATTTTGAAAAGAACGATAGCAAAAGACAAACTGTTCCTGAAGTTAATCTATAGATGTAAAGCATCCAAAAAATAGGTATTAAAACTACATTAAAGGGTTGTAACATTTACATGCAATAAATAAATGGGTACATTGAAATTGTGGTTTCCTACAACCTTTTCCCTATAAAAGAAAAGACTTTGGAGAAATGCCAAACTGTTGCTATGGAATACCTAGAAGATGCAAGGTTGGCCTGCAGTGTCTTAAATGTCCAGTGTAAAGGAAATACTCAGAGACTATTAGGATTCTGTGAAAAGGACTAAGGAGACAAAATAAGGATGATTCTATTAGACAAAGGCAATTTGAATGGTAATTAAGATAATAACTATAGTGGATTAAAACACACCAAATACAGTGAGACTAAAAAAGAAATCATCATTGGAGTCAGCTAAGGAACTAATTAATTTCTTCACCGATAAATGAAGAATCCAGCCATTTAACCTGCTTTTTCTTATACATAGATGAGGAAAAATTTCCCTATATAAAAGTAATAAGTGAAAAATATATGATAGGATAGACCTCATTTTATAACCCTTCATGAATTACCGCATTTAAAAATTGATTGGCCATGGCTGTCAAATCTAAAGAGATAATCAAACATTAAGTTCTTTCTGGGGGATGAGCATAACAGATTGCAAGGGAAATAAAAAAAAGAAGAAGCTGTAGATTAAAAGAAAATTTAAAGGTAGCCAATCACAAATGCATGGATCTTAAATGGAAAAATATATTTAAGTACAGGGAATATTTTTGCTATCAAAATAGCAGAACTTAAAAGCCATAAAAATATTTAATGATGCAATTTTTCCTGAGTTTTTAAAAAATTGAAAAAAAAGGTTGTATAGTGAAATACTGTCTACATACACAGAAAGGAAGAACAAAAATTAGTATGTAAAAGAAACAAAATACTGTATTCCCTCAGGAGATAAAAAAGGAAAAAGAATGAAATTGTTTTCTGAGCTAAGATCAGATCCACAGAGCCAGGTTGCCAATGAATGTGGTCTCACTTTAATCTCATTACATTGGTAGAGAGGAAATAAACACTGGTATTTATTGGGAATCTAGCCTGTTCCACTATGTATTAAGCTAGCCATTTATTTCTAGTTTTACAGATAAAGAAATGGAGTTCTGAGAGGTTAAGCAAGTTGATTCAACAGCCAATGACAAGTTTTCATACTTGGCTGCTTAGAGGATACAAGTTATAAACCAATAAAATGAAACTTGTTTTTAATGTTTTCATTATTATTACACACAGATTGATTGCTAGATAAATTTAGGGATAGAGTAGATATTTTATTTACAATTTAAAGAGATAATAAGTTATTTCCTTGGTATTTATAGATGCTCTCTTGACTATATATGAGTAAGTAACTATTATTTATAGTTATTTAAAACTGCCTTCATCTTAAAAATCTTTTAATTGTATGGCATACAAAGCCAGGAAGTCTAGCAGCAATACTTATGTTTAGATTTAGTTTCAAAAGGACAGAATTCCACTTGTGTTAATATAGAAGCTTTATTTTAATCTTTTTTATCTCTCTTTTAGTACTACAAAGTGATCATTTCTTACACTTACTACAAACTGACAGTGTTCAAATAGGATCTACAGTCATGACCCTGCTACAGAATATATTACAGATGCACAGGTGACTTGGTTATTCATTTATTTTTATTTGGAAATACGAGTTTTATTCTAATTTTTCTAAAATCAATTGCATATGACTTGTACATGGTACTTAAACTGTATTACTATTGTCTTTCAGAAAAAAATCAATATAAAATATTATAAAAGACCTGGAATTTATTATCAAATTGGTATCTTATCTCAGAGCTGTAAGAATTCTCCAAGATGAATATAATTATGTATTATGAACATATACCAGTAAATTTTAAAAGAACTAAGGTTAAACCTCAGGCTTTGAGAATTAGTGTGATATCTGAAGAAAAATATTGGGATCACAATAAAAAATGTTTACATATTTTATTTAACAGACAACAAGCTCAACACGGTAAGTGCTAAAGAAGAGTATAGTTCTCAGATTAAAGTGGAAAAGCAGAATGAAGACAGCTGAAATAATATATTATTTCACTTCAATATGGATTTATTAAGCAACTGTGTGCCAAGTACTGTTTGTCATTGCACTTACAAAGTAGATTGAGATATAAACTTTGTCTTCAAAGATCTTGCAATAGAGTGGGAGAGATAGACACATGAACATAATTGTAGTCTCTTGCACTGCAGTGTTAAAGTTGTCCATGGATATCACAGGGACTTCTAACCCAAACTGAGAGGAGGTGCTTCCTGGAGAAGGTAACATCTGAGATAAAACTTTAAGGAAGATAAATTGACCACAGAGGATGAAGGGATGCAGTATTTCTAGGCGGAGTAGTAACATAAGGAAAAGCACAGAGATAAGAAACATCAGGCTGCAGGTGAAAGGCAGAGATAGTTACTTGGATGAAAAATTCAGTGTTAGAGGTGGCTAGTAAGTTCTGCAGATACTTAAGTCAGGAAAAATTTATGTGCATATTAAGAAAACTAAGACTTATATTGTAGACATTGGATATTTTTTAAGTATTTGAAAATAGATTACATTTGGTTTTGTTACTCTGGTGACTAGAGAAAAGGCAAGGGGAACAGAACTCTACACAAAAGTGACAGTTGGAGGAAGCAACCATAGCAGTGCAAATGAGGTAATGAAATCTGGGCCCTAGGGACTGGATTTTTAAAAGTAGTGAATTAAAATTATCATGACTTAACTTCCACTTTTGATTTAAGATGTAATAGTAGGAATGGATTTACCCTCTCATCCACAATTGTTTTCAAGAATGTGCCCCCAAAGATTTGAGAATCTCTCAGGAGTTTGACCTCTCACAAGTTCCCCCACCTCTCAACAGCATCATCCTGGGAGCCAAGCCTTTAATGCATGGACCTCCGTGTGACAGTCAAAAGCTCACAATTGCCCTGACATAGTATTGAGAGCATTTCCAGGCTGTGTTGTAGGGAGGTATATCCCAGCTTGAGTTGAAGAGAGGCAGCTGAGTCCAGGGAGAAGAAGATTACTAGAGTTCATATGACATAATACTAGAAAAGAGAGAGCTATACCAGAGTTCTTCAGAGGGATTCCTTGAAGTATGCAATATTGATGAGCATGTAAAAAAACTATTGAATAAGCAATCGAAAGGGATAAAAGTAACAGTGTCAGCAACTTACACAAGATTGGGAATAGTGCCTGTTTCCAGCAGCCAAACTAGAAAACCTCATTACATAATGGGGCATTGGGTAGAATATTCAGGAAGGTTTCACCTTGGTACTGGGGAATAATTTGCATTAAACTACACCTTATTCCATACAATCCAAACCAATCCTAAAAGCAAGGCCCAAAAGGACCAAACTGTTTCACAGTATCTTAACTAAACATGGTTATTGAAACTCCCTACATTTTAAAGTCTTTGTGTTATAGGACATCAGAGGCAAGAAGTTCAGCAGAAATGCTCATGCTTTAATTTGATTTTAAAAGGATGAAAAAAGTTGGTCGTGGGTAGCTTATGCCTGTAATTTCAGCACCTAGGAGACTGAGGCAGGAAGATCAGCATGAGTTCAAGGCCAGCTTGGGATGTATAGTAAGTTCAAGGCCAGCCTGAACTATATAGCAAGACTCTCAAAAACCAAAATAAGCAAAAAAAAAAAAAAAAAAAAAATCGACCCTTTACAGCTCTTGACAGTAACCTGCTTTCCCTTCTCTTTAGAAGGGAAGGGAAGAGTAAATTGGTACCCTTGTCTTTCCTCCCTTTCTCTTCTGGCAGTACCAGTGATCGAACTCAGGACCTTGCACCTGCAAGACAGGCACAGTGGCACTAAACTAAATTCCTGGCCCACTGGTGTTTGTAGTTTTGTTTTGTTTTTTCTTAAAAAAAAAAAAAAAAAGAAGAAGAAGAAGAAGAAAATCATCCCACTGGTGTTATCATAGAATATCAGCTTTGATCACTTTTTCTCTTCCTTTAGTACTACAAACTAATTTTTTTTATTACTGCAAACTGATGATATTCAGAATCTGCAGTCATGACTGTGTTACAGAACATACTACCACTTAACAGGTGACTTGTTTTTTCAAAATATTACTGATGTTTTATTCTAATCAACCTCAGCAAGGCAAAATGCAAATAGTCTTGCATTCAGAGAAGGACCAGGCATGAAAAAAGGAGGAAAATAGTACTCGCGATGAGGAGAATCTCTTGCTCAAGACTGATGCTGTGTTAGACAAGGACATTATAACTATTTTCCACATACAGGAAATTAAAAAATTGATCTGTATGACAAGATCCAAACTGAACTTCTTCATATGAAAACTATAGTATCTGAGATTAATAGCAGATTAACAGTGTAGAAGACTAGTGATTGCTAAGACATATCAATATGCATTATCCACAATGAAAGAGAAAAAATTTTTAAAGAAGTAAGGAAAAGCATATCAGTGAGCTGTAAACAAATTCAAGCAGGATTATTTGGGTATAATCAGAATACCTAAAGGAAGTAGTAGGGTCAGGGAAAAAAGTTGAGGAAAGTGGCTAAATTTTGCAGATTTGATGAAAGCTATATATTTGTGAGATTCAAAAAACTCATCAAACCCCAAGAAAAATAAACATGAACACAATTCCACATTAAAATATATTATAATTAAATTTCTTAAACCAGAAGAAAAGAGAAAAATTTAAAGGCAACCAAAGAAAAAATACTTTACATAGATGAATGAAAATAAAGATGATAGAAGTGTTCTTACCAGAAACAATACAAGCTAAAAGACTGTTGAGCAACGTCTTTATATGTACAGAAAATCACAGTTCAGAGTTCACCTCAGTTGTTCACAGATCTTTACTTAGAACCTAACTAATAATTGTTCTCTGCAACCCCTGCAATTTCCCTGAAACAGAAAATATCCTCCACAAATGTTCTTTTAGTGGAAGTTTACAAGTAGCCAATTTGAGAGTGTTACTCAGTTCTCGGTACTACGGATTGGCTGCCACCCTATAACCCCTCTGGCAGATGCATCGGCATTCCTGTATCACATAACAGGTTGCTGCATGTGTAGCTATCTCAACTGTTCTCAGTTTTGTTCTTAAAACTCTCAGATGCCACCACAATGCCCTGTCATCTTTTAAGGCTTCTGGTAATGAACCTAAGCACCAGAAGAAGTTTAAGATACTCCAGGGGAAAGTTGAGCTACTGGATTTGTGCTTGGTGCCACTGAGCTAAATCCTTGGCCCTTCCAAAGACACTTGTAATTAAATAAAGCAGTAATTGAATCTAGAATGTATAAAGCACTGTCAAAGTTTACTAAAGGCAGTTTGAAAACTGGGCAAAATATTTGGATACTTCATGAGAGAAGATACAAAGATAGCAAATACTCAACATAAGAAATTTTTGTCAGCACTATTAGTAAAGAATACCACCACACATTCATTAAGTGCCTAAAATTTAAAACACTTAACTGTTGACAAGGAAATGAAGGAGCTTGATCTTTCATACCTTGCCGGTGGGAATGTACAATCACTATAGAAAATACTATGGCCATTTATTAACAAGCTAAAACTATACTTACCATATTATCTGTCTGTTCTCCTAAATATTTGCCTAAGAGAAATGAAAATAGCCATACAAGACTTGTACACAAATATTCATAGCAACTTTATTTGTAATGTCTAGGGACTAGAAACAGTTCAGATGTCCAGCAACAGGAGAATGAACTGTGATGTATCTATACCATGGAATAAACTGGAGTAAACTATTCACTTGACAACACAGATAAATATAAAAATAATGCTAAATGAAAAAAGCCAGGCAAAAAAGTGTACATACTGTATTATTCCATTGATATAAAATTCTACAAAATATAGACTATTATGACAAAGCAGGTCAGTAGTTGCTTGCGGGGGAGATGTTAGGGAGGACACAGAGAGAAAAACTAACATGAAGCACAAGGAAACTTAAAGGATAGTGGATATTTTCATTTTCTAGTGTATGTTGGTGAGACATCCAACTGATCAAGTTATATGCTTTAAATATCTGCAGTTATATATCAGTTATACTTTAATAAAGCTATTTTGAAAATTAAAAACCCTTAGGACATGATACCCTGATGTGGAATAAGATGAAAAATGCAGTCAAATCTGACACCAGGTTTTCTATAGGTCATTCAATAGACTAGCATGTAATTCGTATAAGGAATTGGTTTTATGAGACAGATGATTAATTCAATGATGGTTATGTTGTAAATAAGCAGTAAAATAAGTGTCTATACACAGACTTGTCTGTAAACGTTCATTTTTGCTTTATTTGTAATACCCAAGGTCTAGAAATCACTCAAATGTCCCTCAGCATGTGAATTAATAACTGACTTATATAAGGAATCTGCACTAGAGTTACAAATTTACAAATCAGCAGCTTATGAATGGTAGTTAAGAACATAAAAGAAGATGGGAACAATGGGAAATGTTAATTGGGTGTGTATTTTCACACTTCACATGTTTATTTTAACATGTAAAAAATGGGGTTGTGGGAATAACCTTTAAAGGGTAGACCAAAGAAGTGGAATCCATGAAAGAAACTGAGAAAGAATGGTCAGAAGTGTATGGGCAGACAGTGAAAGGGAACCAGAAGAACAGTGTATCTATTACAAAGCAGAGTAGGCAGAAACAGATCCCAGAAGGTAAGTACTTACTGATATACATGTGGCTTTATATTTGGAAAGTTATATAAAGGAAATGAACTTATTAAGGGCAGTTAAGTAAATAGTGACAAAGAATACAGTCATTTGATGAATGGGAAGTAAAGGAAGTGAAGACTGGAAACTTTGTATTAGAAGCAGAAAAATAAGATGATAGTGGTCTGAACATGATATTTTTTTAAGGATTAGGGATTAAAGAGCATTGAAAAGTATTTGAGCTAATTATTACATATATATTATGATATAAAATAAACAAGTGATATATGGAAGAAGTACTGTGATAAGGATACCTATGGAAGGCTTTCTGAAATAAATGCATTTTTATATGAGTGTTGAATACTGTAATAACAGTAAATGCTGCAATAGAAAGGCGTGAGACTCCCTGGCCTAAGGAATAGCACAACCAACGTAGCAGAAACAGTTACAGAGATTCCCACATATTTTGATTAGATGGCTTTTAAAGTCTTTCAACTCTTAAGATGTTTAAATCTAGGCTAGGATACTAATCTCTTTTTGTCTTAAATTCATATTGGTGATTTCTAAAGTATAACTTTCAAAGAGTTAACAATATGACTCATGCAAATATTAAATTTAGGGGGTCAAAATTCTTATTTGGCTTGTTAGTTAACAAGGAGACCTGTAAGATGTTCATACGGGCTTAAAAGAGATTTTGAGAAAGGGAGATTTATAGATTTGGTTTATCATACGAATGTAGAAAATAATTTTTTCATAGACTTATTAAAATTTTTTGAATAGGAAAAATACCAATGCCTTCTAAAACAATATATTTAGAATTACCTCTTCTACTGTATAGAAATCATTTGCATTGCTGTTGAGTAGGTCTATTTGCATTTGCTCTATGAATTATTGACTATTTCTACCATCAAATTTAAAGTACAGTATCTTAATAATAGTTAAAGGTACAATCCTAGAAAATCACAAAACTTCTTTAGGGAGTTAAAGAATACTTAGTTTCTGTTTTAGGTAATTTTTCATGAGTTCCATAATGTAAGTAGATAAGGTTGTTAGTCTAATAAAGGAAATGGCAAGGAAAAGGTGAAATTCTTCCTAAAGCATGTGATCTTTGAATATCATTAATCTATATTCTCTTGTGATTTTACTTGTTATCTTGAAGCTTTTTGTTTTGTTTTTGTTTTTTTAAGACCAGATTTCACTAAATAGTTCAAGCTGATCTTGAACTCACTGTGCAGTCTAGGCTGGCCTTGAACTTTCAGCAGTCCTCCTGCCTCAGCCTCCTGAGTGTTGAGATTATAGATTATGTGTGTGCCACTACAACTGGAACCTTGAACTTTTAAATAACTTGCTATTAATATTTTGCCATTTCTCTGAGTTTCTTTAGCTACTTTGTATTCTCTGTTGTACCTATCATGGCACCTTATACACAGTATGAATTCAAAACATTAACTGATTTAATATGATGTATTCTTGTCAGCAAGCTACATATTTATAAAAGTGGCTTGGATCAGTATACAGAAAGGCCTCAATCAAGTTACTGAATCTTTTATTTCTAATTTGTTGTGATAACTATGCATAAATTAGTAATGATACTTTTTTCTTTTGTTCTGTTAGTGATGATCTATTTAGAATAGAAGGCAAAACCCTGCATTCTGTTTTAGATGAAGTTATTTCCAAGCTTTTATCAACTCCTAGTCCACTCATAAGAAGTACTGCTACAAAGCTTCTACTGTTGTTGGCTCAGTCCCATCAAGAAATTTTTATTTCATTGAGACTAAGTGCTTGCTACAAAGGTAATATACACATACTTCCTTTTCTTGGGCTTCTCAAAAAGAAAAATTTTATTGATACTTTATGACACAAAAGTTTTATATTTTGAACTGTGCAGATAAAATGTTACAACAGATACCATTTCAGAAAAAAGAGCTTTATATAACCAAGCTGGCTTCATGTCTCTCAACAGAAAGCATGTGGTACTTTGTTGAACCAGTTACAATAAATATTTACCCCCTTTGATAAAAAGGTTGTATGTTGAGTATATCGTATAATGTAGTAAAATAATGACCAAAGAGATGTCACCTTATCGAGGTAGTTGAAAATAGAACTGTGCTTAGGAGTTGGGTAATCTTTCTCATCTTTCTATCAGTTAATAAATTATTCTTTAACTCTTCTTTGCCTTTCCTCAAAAAAAGACCCCAATAGGGGCCAGGGATTTAACTCAGTGGTTCTGCTGCCTGCCTTGCAAGCACAAGTACCCAACTTTGATCCCCGGTACCAAAAAAACACCAACCAAATCTGCCTTGCCTCCAGAATCAAACACATATGCATTTAAAAGTCAGAAATTTTGAAGATGAATGGATCCATTGCTTTACTATTATATAATAGCTTTCATTTATTGAGCTTTTACTATGTGTTAAGTCACTATTCTCCATACTTTACATGTATTGAGATATTTAATCTTTATTTAAAAACCTGTGGGATACTCTTAGTTTCATTTTATAGATGTGAAATAAAAGGCATAGGAAAATAGTAACTTACCCAAGATCACATAGTGTATTTTTTCCAGCTTTCAAGCAAAATTATATATTGGCTTTATTCTATTTCTTTGCTGATGAGAGCCTTGTATTAATTGAAATATATTTTTTACTAAGCATTGTCGGGAAATAGGTTTCTATTTTATTAAATATACTTCGTGTAGGAATATATTACATATAGAACCTTTAAAAGGTTGTATGATATATTTAATACCTAAACATTTAGAATGGCCATTTAATCATTCTTAATGATCTGAAAGGCACTTTAGTAACTTAGTTTGCATCAGTGACTGTGTGTACTTTATTTTATTGTATTATAGGATTCACAGGAGAGGAAATACCAGTAATAGGACCCTAGTTGATAACTTTGTCAGATTTTTTTTTCAGTTATCATTTTTCAGTTCTGCAATTACAACTAAAGGTAAATGCCCAGAAGAGTTCATTACAAAGGAGTTTTACCTTAATTCTTCCTTTCTTTGACTGATATGTGTACAGCAGAACTTATTCAGGTTCTTCTAGATACTTAAAGTTATCAATACTGTTCAGAGTTTAGATTTTAAAGAGAATATGATGTAGAAAAGCCCATATAGCAGTTTCCCCAGTTGTATACTACAAAACTATCTGTTGTAGTCAGCAAAATTGAGCAAGGGAATACATTAAATACAGGACACATAACTTACAAGGTTATTTTATGGTAATTACCCAAAGAGTCACATGCAAAGGAGTGCAAGAGATTAACTGCACACTAGAAGCCCAAAGCATTCAACTGAGGGCCTAGATCCTAGCAGTTTCTTGCACAAGTCCAGCTAATGGCTTAGGGTCCAAGGCATTGTCCTCCAAGAGTGCAGCCAGAGGCCTAGAGCCCATGACAATGTCTCCTGCTTGTCCGTATTGAGGATCTGCACCTGGATGGCCCAAAGGCCAGTGGTGGAAGCCAGAAAATTTACACTGGTATGATGAAGGATTTGTGCCACCAAGCTGAGGAATCCACATTGAAGCTAGGAAGTGATGCTTACGTAAAGATCAGAGCTCCCCTAATGAAAGCAGCAGCCATTCCCAGTGACAGCGAGGTCCCAAGCTTCTCCTCCAATGAGAACAGCCCAGTTTGTATCAGGAAAACCATTTGCAGCAAGCTTCTCCTAGAAAATCAATAGGCCCAGATCATCCTCTCCAGTTCTCTTTTTATGGCTATTGCTAGCAGTTGTCAGGTGTATCCTCCATGCCCAGACCCCACTGATTCAGTTCAACTGGGTGTTAAGTTGACAGTCGATCCACTACAATGTTGTAGTTACTTTTCTCTCCTTGCTGAGATGAAATACCTGACACACAAAGTTGAAGGGAGAAAGGTTTATCCAGCTCACAGTTTGTAGAGGTTTTAGTCCATAGTTAGCTGACTCCCAGGCAGAGTGGCACATGATAGAGGAGCATTGGAGAGAACAGTTCATGGCGGCAGAAGACAGCAAAAGCAACAAGAGAGAAGACAAGTCTCTTTCCCTTATATTGTATCCAGGCTACCAGAATTAGGGTGGTGCCAAACCAGTCAGTGGACTGATTTAATAATCACAGACCCTTAAACCCAGCATCACATACTCTAGATCCAGTCACCTCTGAAAAAGCTCCCTACCCCCATGACCACGTGAGGCTTTGGGGGGACATCTAGACACAAACCATAACAAAGATCATTTTATTTACTTATTTATATCTAATACATATACACCATTCTAACATGTCCTGGAAATAGTACCTTTACTACTATGTGTTATTTTGGGATAAAAATGCAGTATTCTAGCATTACAGCACTTTTGTATTTGCTCAGATACTAATGATTTGCCGTGAAACTATATGTTAGTGTATTTTTGAAAATTTAAAAATAACTTTTCTCAAAATTAAAATAACTGATAAGTTACCTGTTTAAGTGCATTTACAGGGTAGGCATATATGAGTATGTATGTGTGTCCTTAATGTTTTATCTTTTTAAAAATGTTTCAGTTTAAGGTATTTATATTCAAACAAAAATTATTTCTACTCTTTGACTTACCACAGTGATTCTACTGCCTTTTTTTCAATTAAAGAGATTGGATATATATATTTACACTCAGAAGTTTTTACAAAAGAAAAATCATATAAATTGGTGTTCTGTTAATTCATTTCTAAACCAGTCTTCTTAAAATTCAAATTAATACTGATTTAGATAAGAAAACCATATTTTATTGTTAATCACTGTACCTTTTGCTATTTTATTTCAGGACTCAGAAATCTACTAAGTAAACCTGGAATTGGGACAGAATTTAGTCAAGAACTTGAACAACTCATTGGCCTTTTAAGTCCTAAAATCTATGAGGAAGCAAGAGAGCAGGTAAATTCTAAAAAAAGAAATAAAAGAGTGAATATTAAATTATAAAAATAATTTATGTGCTACTTGGTAATTGATCATATTGAACCTTAATTTTCATTAAATACACCTTTCTTTCTCTTAACACTACAAGCAAAATGCTTCCCTGAAAAAATAGATATATCTGTAAGATTTTCCATTTCTCTTCTATTCAGCCTTCCCATAATTTCAGTCTTCCTTTTCCATTTATAGAGTCTACCACATCAATTTTTAGAATTTCATGAAATCCACATCTGTGATTATTTCTCCTCTTTTGTCTATAAAATATTCAGTCAGGCATGGTGTCACAGGCCTATTATCCTAGCACTCAGGAAGCTGAGGCAGGAGGACCATTACAAATTCCAGGCCAGCCTGAACTGCACACATAGTGAGACCTGTCTCCCCCAAAAAAGATTTTTTTTTTTAGTACCAGGTATCGAACTCAGGACCTTGCGCATGCGATGCAGACGCAGCAACACTGAGCTAAAACTCTGGCCCTAAAAAAGATATTTTAAAAAAATGTCTAATTACAGAAAATTATTTATGGCCACCTATTCCTTGTCTTATTCTTTGAGGTATTACAATAGTGCTATTTGCCTCTATGTAAGAAACTGTATTAATAAAAATTAGAAGTTTGAATCAGCAGGTTACTATTCTATCACACTTAAATATGGAAAACAGATTTAATCTAAAATAATACAAGATATTTATCTAAAATCCTAAACCAAAAAGATAATACATTTTAAAATATAAGTTGAAACCATGAAATCTAGTTAGGCAGAAGAATGATAGGGCACCCTGAAAAAAGAGAGCAGAGGAAGAGAATTCTCTTCTTCTGTTGTGAGCCTTTACAGCTCTTAGACTGATCTCTAAACTGTGCAAGCATTGGACAGACATAAAACAGCATACCAGAAACAGGGATCACAAAGCGATTTGAACAACCACCCAACAAAGGTCATCAGAGCTTAGGTTCTGAACCTAAGCAGGATGATAAGCCATTAAATAAGTACATTAAAGAGTTATTTAAGACTACAACAGAATAGGCAGAGCTATTCAGTCGTTGGAAAGGAAGTAAGGTTAGACAGAATTTGGAGCTAATCAGATGATACTTTGAATATTCTACATGTTGTCTAACTGAACGTAACAAACCACTCTTGGGTGGTGAGGTGTAGTGTTCTTAGGCCTTCCCTGTCCTGAGCCCATGAACTTAATGTTGCTTCCATACCCATCTTGTTAGAGATGGGGATTTGAATGCTACTTCCCCTAGCCTGATATTTTAAGAGGTAAACTTTTTTAAAAGGCTTTTCTAGAGATTCTTCTAAATTATTTCTCTTGAATTATTTCAGAAACTACATCAAGCAGCTTGCTTGATTCAAGCTTATTGGAAGGGCTTCCAGACTAGAAAGAGATTTAAGAAGCTTCCATCTGCTGTGATTGCTTTGCAGAGGAGTTTCAGGTAAAAACATTTTGTGCTAGGAATAGTGATCTGACAGTCTTACTAAGGTACAGTTGAAAACTTGAGTTTTTGTTGCTTTTTTTCCCTTTTGTTTTTCAATTTCCTAATGTTTCCTTTTTTTTTTCTTGCACTTACTCTGTTCCATATGTTACAGAGTTCCAACACTCCAGTAACTAGGGAAAATATAAGGCAAGAATCTGATGTGTCCAGTATACCATTCTACTTTTTAAGATTTGTTTGTGGGCCAAATCTATAGACAAAGCCAGTGATTTTTGTATTACCAAACACTCAAAATCAATAATTTGTGTAAATGCTCACATATAATTATTATAAAAAATGTGCAAATACATAAAAGTTAAATATGTTAACCTGATTTTCCTGAGTATGTGGAGTATGGATTGATACAGACCTTGAAATATGATAGTCTCGTTTATTTCAAGAGGATTGAAAATGAAATACTGAAGTTGTGATCTGTTTTTTATTACTGTTTTTTTTAAATATAGTCAGCATTTTTGAAGAATGTCCAAAAATCAGCGTTATTAAAACATTCTAGTAAAATACAATGTGGAAAGAAGCCCTCAAATGTTAAGTCCACTAAGTTCTATCTAGTGGAACCCAATGGGATAGCAGCTACTTGACTTATTATTGTAGTTTTAGGTGAGAATCCTCTGACCCAGGAAGGAGAAGGGAATCTCAAATGCCAACCTGCTGTCTAGGTACTTGGAGCAGCACTTCAGTGTTCCTTCGAAATAGCTGGGAGATTCATAATGACCTAAGTAAGGTAATCCCTTACTTAGGGAGGAAGGGAGGGAGAGGGAGAGAGAAAGACCTGGCTGCCAAGACAGTCAAAAGAAACTCCTGTGGTTACCATTTGCCCACTTTGTGATATGAGTAACTTATCCAGATTCTTAAAGGTTGCAGAATGAATGAATGAAAGAGAGAAATATTGATTCAACTCCTAGGTGATTTATGATAAAGTAGAGCCATCTCAGAAGTGATCTTTTCATGTAGTCAAGTTTTAGTTGACTAAAATGAAACTGGTATATTACAGAAGTAAACTTTTAAAAAAAAACCCTGAAACTATTCTTGTAGTACCTGCAGCTGCATTTCTCAGTTATAAAAACACTTTAAAAATAGCTCTGGGGTTCAAAATGCTATATTGTCACAGACTTGATGACACTGAAGTCATTCTGGTTGCGTCCCTTAGTGGATGTCCTATTTGTTGATGAACGTTTTCTATAGGAAAGATTGAAAGACAGCTTATAAATATTATTTGGCATGAATATTGTTGGTGTAATTTTTTAACATATCCATCAAATGGTTAGCAAATTCCAAAGGATGAATGAGGGGGTGGGAGGGGAGGTGTGGGGAAAGTTTGAGACTTATATTTGTGTCCCACTTTAGCAACTTATTGGCTGAGTGGCCTTGAACAAGTTATCCCACCTCGTTCAGCCTCAGTTTTCTGATCTATAAAATGGAGACAGTAGGTTACACACCTTAAAAGATTGAGATAATATGTTTGAAATAATAGTGTGTTAGCATATCACCTAGAACTTAGAAAAAAGTACATATGGCATGTTTTCTGCCTTGAATATGTATATAAATCTGGACAAGTAGAAAGCATTGAATAAATGGTAATCATAAGAATAAGAGTTATACATCTGGCATTGCTTGAAATTTATCACCTAACTTATAAGATGTTTCTCAAAATGTTTAAAAACATTTCTGTAGTCAAATAAAGAAATACTGAATAGGGCCAGGGATTTAGCTCAGTGATTCTGCTGCCTGCTTTGCAAGTGCAAGGTCCCATTTCTGTGGTCAAATAAAGAAATAGTGAATAAGGTCGGGGATTTAGCTCAGTGGTTCCGCTGCCTGCTTTGCAAGTACAAGCTCCCAAGTTCGATCTCCAGTACCAAAAAAAAAAAAAGACAAAGAAAAAGAAACAAAGAAATACTGAATAATTTGAGTACCACAGTGTATATATATCTTCTTATATTCCAAAGAATCTTAGGTGTTCTTGGTATTGCCCTCTCATGATTCTGCCTGCTATCATCCTCAGCTATATGTCCTCTTACATTCCAGGGTGTCCCTACACCATGGATTCAGACCTTTAATGTTTAGTACCACAGTAGCTGTCAGATTTGTTTACTTTCTCTTTTAATTTAAAAGTATCCCAGAGCCAGGCATGGTGGCTCACACCTGTAATCCCAGCACTGGGAGCCAGGGGCAGGAGGATCGCTGTGTGTTCAAGACCAGCCTGGGCTATATAGTGAGTTCAAAACCAGCCTAAACTACATAGGGAGACCTCGGATCCAAAATAACAATAACAACAACAATAATAATTTTAAAAGTATTCCAGAGGCTTCAGAGTATAGGGATATAGTCAGTGACAGAATGCATTTTTACCATGAGGCTTATAATGGCTTGTCTAAATTTCCTCCCCAAAACCTCATGCGGGGCTCATAGGTGAGGCTTTTCAGTGGTGGCTGAATCTAGAGTGTGTGACAACTGGGTTTGATTCAAGGTGCAGTGCTAGGATAGAGGGTGTTGGGATTAATCAGTCCACCAATTGGTTTGGCACCTGCCCTAAGCTAGGTAGCGGAAATATAATATAAAAGAGGCAGAAAGAAGCTGCTATGGTCTCTTGGACTTGCTGTTTGCATGGACTGTTTCTCCTCTGCAATCCCCCTCTCCCATGCCACCCTGTCTGTGAGCCAGTTCAACTATGAACTGAAATTCCTACAAACTGTGAGCTAAATAAATCTTTCCACCTTTAACTTTGGATATTTGATATTTTGCCTCAGCAACAAGAGAAATATAACCAAGACAAGGCGCTTTGTTAAATCCTCAACACACACACACACACACACACACACACACACACACAGAGAACAAACCAGTATCCCAAGATTACAACTTTTATCCATTTAGAAGTACATCTTTCGAATTCTAAGTAATATTTCATTATTTTAAAATAGGAGCTCCATTGCTTTCTTCCTGTAACAAAACCAGACTGGTTATTAGTATTTCCATTTTAAAAGCTAAGCTATAAATCCACAGTAATTTATTTGCCATTATATGTTTGTTTCCTGTTCAGCATTTTGAATTTGGGGCTCTGGAGTACCCTGAAGTACAGTTTTAACTGTTAGGCTGTATCTGGTTTTTTAACTGCAAGTTTACTGTAGATTTCACTACCTTTCATCTTCTATTAGATGTTAAAGGTTTGTGCAAATCTCTCTTACTTCCTTTGTTGTTGGGCTTTCTGCCTTTTTGTGGTCTGACAGGTCATTACCTGGGTAATTTCCCCTTCCAGGCTTTCTTTAGGGAGAAGGGACTACCGCTGCTCACACTTATGGGACTAGATTGATCAATGTTCTTTAGATTCAGCAAGAGGCATTTGTTTATAGTCAAACTCTTGCTAATGCACTTTCTAGGAGGTTTTTTATTTTTTTAGTTATTTCTCACAGTTAGAAACTTTATTTTCTATTAAGCATTCATTTCCTCAGCAAGCATTTCTAAAATAGCTAACAGTAACCCCATTTCCCTTGGTGGGAAAAGACCTCATAATTTACCTACCTTTAATCATTTTGCTGATATTTAGATATTTTAGTTAAATTTGTTTGATTTGTCCTGGAAACTGAACTGTTAGGGTTCAGTATTTGTCTGAGCAGTACTAAGCAGGCATTACTCACTCAGATAAGTATTTATTGATTTAATATCTGATCAGTTCCTTTTGATAGGAGAAGTATAACTCCCAACCAGCTAGATGTCAGATGTGCCAAGTTCATGTCCCCCAAAATCAAAGAATGAATTCCAAGGAACAGTGGAGGTTAAGAATAGGAAAGACTTTATTGAGAGATAGGTGGGGTCCTGGAAGTGGGTTGCCACTAAGGCCCTTTTTTGAGGGTAATTTATACAGAAAAGTCACAATGTGGGTCAAACTACAATCAACCTACAGGATTACAAGTATAGCTACTTAGCTAATATTGGTTCAATGGAGGAACAAGTCATATAGCAAGGGTACATGGAAAGAACAAAGGAATTTGGGGAAGGGATATGTCCGGAACCTCTGGTAACCCACCTGGGTATCTGATGCCTAGCTAGACTTCCTGGACCAGGTGGTGCTAATTACAGTATAATTCTAAGTTTCTCCTTATCCCTTATGGAGGCATGTAGGCTTGACCATTGCATCTTTCTCTTAAGTCCAGACCTTCAAATGCACCTCCAATCACAATTCTGATGTTTGTATATTTCCACTGACTTCCTTGAAAGCCCAGTCCCTCTCTGACTGTATATTAATTTTTATCTAATTTAGCTGCCTATAGTTCTTCCTTATTAGAACTGCAATATACATGCCATACTGGTCAGATAGCTACTCGATCTTACAGAGAAATAAGATGGAAATAATTTTTAATTTTTGAGTGATTATATAAACTCTTAGCAAAATAGCTACAATGTAACGAAAAGGAGGAAATAATAACAATAATAATAATAAAAGTACCTCACTTTCTAATTGTTTTCAAGCTTGAAAATAAAGTATATTAATCCAAGAAGCACAAAATTTACAGCTGTTAGTTCAATCATTAAACCCCATTTTTCTTTTGTTTTCCTGGTTTGTATTTTACTTCCATTTTCATGCTGCATGTTTTTTCTTTCTTTCCTTTTCTTGCTCTATTTCATAGCCTGTGAACCTAAATTATTTCCCAGACTCAGTTTTCTGTCTGATTAAATGTCCTAGCATTGCAGCTTTAATGAGTACCACATTTCTTATGCTAATAGTATATGTAAAATACTGATAATTCAATATAAACATAATCTATAACCTATTAAAAGTTGGAAATGGTGTTTTTAATTTTTTTTGTTTTGAGACAGTCTTGCTATATAGTTCAGGCTAGCCTTAAACTCACTATGTGGCACAGGATGGCCTCAAACTTTTGGTTATCCTCCAGCTTCATTTTGCTGAGGGTGAGATTACAGACATGCACTATCACACCTGGCTGAAAATGAGTGGTTTTTTTTTTTAATATTTCTTTTAAAAATTGTTACAAGTGAAAAATGACTACACTTAATTGTGTTTGTATTTTCAAAAGAAAACCCTCCCTAACTATAACATTATGGGGTCTAGCCAAGCTATCTGTAACAGTTATTGGCAGTTTAATTCTAGGAAAAGAAGAAACATGCTCTTGAAGGAGACACATACAAATTAATTCTATGGGGGCTAGGAGTGTAGCTCAGTAGTAAAGTACTTCCCTAGGATACATAGGCCCTGGGTTTGATCCCCAGCACCACCGAGAAAGAAAAAAAAGCAATTCTATTGAAGTAAAATAAATACTGTAATTGGCTTCAGTTATCCTCCTGGTATTCCATTCCTATAGGAGTCTGAAAGTATTTTGATAATATCTGCTGTAGACTAGTATTTGTGAGAAGCAACAAAAATGTAGCTGGGATGGCTGAAAAAATTTAGTAAGTAAAAGCAGAGAATATATAAGAATTAAAATGTCATGAAAAATTTTTAACTAGTTATAAAATATTTATTATTAGTCACTATTGAGAGCTAGATAAACCTAAGAAAATTAAAAATGAGCCATAATCATACCACACAGTGACTACTTAAATTTTATTTTTTTAATCATTTATTTTTCTTTGTAAGTATAAATTTTTAACACAATTTGAATCTCATTCTTGATTTTTTTTCACCTGACAGTCCATTCATTACATGTCACTAAGTATTCTTTGAAAATTTATTTAGCCATAGGTCCTAGAATTGCACCAGATATATCTAATTCCCTATCATGGAACATGTGGTTTGCATTCAACTTGTAACTATTGTAATACGATGCTGAGAACATAAATTTTTGTATACATATTTGATTATCTCCTTAAGAAAATTTAAACTACTTTTCCAGATTTTTGATGGATATATCCAATTATTTTCCTACAAAAGTTCTACTGCTGAAGTGTATGATGTGTACTTCATTATACCCCAATACTACCAGGAATTATCTTTAGAAACACTTTTTTTCTGTCTGTATTTGATTGCTTTTAAGATAAGAATTTCCTACATTTCTTGAATGAACATATGATTTGTGAAATTATGTGTAACTGCTTGAACTCACTGTTTCCATCACAGATCTAAACGAAGAAAGACATTGCTGAAACTAAATCGGCAGAAGGAAGAAAAGGATCTCAGATTACAATTGCAAATTGAAAGACAGAGAGCCATGAGACTTTCCCGAGAATTACGGCTTAGTGTGCTTGAAATAGTTCACCCAGGTGAATGCAATATCAACCTTGCAAGTATAAGAATATAAATAAATAAACCAAATTTTCTAGCTACTTGATGGTTTCTTTTTTTGTACTTGGACCTTTGCCTTGTCTCTTTCTCTCTCTCTCTCCCTCTCTCTCTCTCTCTCTCTCTCTCTCTCTCTCTCTTTTTCTCCATAAGCCTTATTTAAAAACCTTATTGAATCTCTGGAGTCAGAAAACAAGTTTCAATTTTTTCCAATTCAGACCTGTTAGTTGATGATAACCTATTTCCCCATCATATTTTATTTTCTTTTCTTTCAGGTAATTTAGTGAAACATAAAAATTAACATTTAAAAATAGTTGTCAGGGACATAAACTCTTTGAATTCACTTAAGGCGTTAGAACATTGCTACATTCTGCCATGAGAATTTTACTAGTGCAAACCTTGCAACATCACTTTGTCTCCTGAGAAGACTAAGCTAAAATTAATAATAAAGTATGATCTGAGAGGGCTAATTGGTTACAAGGTTTTTGTCTTTACTTTTCTTCTTACTACTCATTCCCAGAAACCTTCACTATTCCCATGTTTCTCTTCCTTTCCCTTAAATCTAGTTATATTACAGAGTCTCATCAATACCTAGTTACTCTCATATTCTGCCTGGTGTGTGCCATCCATATCTATAGCTTCAACTATCAGCTGAGTGCTTCACTTTCATATCTCACTCACTTTAAGCTCTTTCCAGCAGGACTACTAATAGACCTTTTTACACAAAATGTTCTATGTGTACACCACCCAAGGCAGTAGCCAATGGCTGAAGGTGGCTATTCAGTATTTCAAATGTGCCTAATGCACTCAAGGACCTGAATTTTTAATTCTGTTTTCTTCAGCCACTGGTAGTTATTACCTACTCTATTAGACAGCACAGCTCTATAGCCAGCTGCCTGTTGAATAGTTTTACTTAAATATCCAAAGGCATCTTAAAATTTAAAGTCATCTTGCTCCCAGATTTTCTCTTTATTTCTCATTTCAGACAATGGTGCCAACCATCTACTCAGTTTCCCATCTGAGACATACTAAAGTTCTTTCTCTTTTATCTCCATCTATCAGCTTTTTATACTCTCAAATATACCACTGTTTTACCTCTTTTTTTTTTTTTTGGACCAGGATGGAACTCGGGTCTTTGTGCTTTCTAGGCAGGTGGTGGCAATACTGAGCTAAATCTCCAGCCCACCTGTTTTAAATTCCACTGATACTACCTTCTCATTCTTAGCAGCTGTGAAACCTGAGGTATATGAGTGCCAACTCTCAGAAAGTAAAAAGGAAGCCATATGTGTAACCAACTAAAGAGAAATTTGGAAGCACAAAGCCTTGCCCTTTCCCTCTGGTAGTACGAAATGATTTCTTATCATATACTAATGATTTTTTCCCCCAAATGTTCTTAGTATTGAATTTTCAGTCCTTTTCTCACCACTCTACCACAAAGATATTTTTATGAGTCTTTTCTTTAAGGAACTTTGCATAATCTGGGAAAGCCTTAGTGTTTTAAAATCTTAGAAATGTAAAATTATAAGATCGGGGAAATCAGCAGTATTAAAAAAAATAAGACTGCAAGATTGTTATTATTACTATTGTCCTGATTTGAGAGCTTGACAAAACATAGCAGAGAGTACGTTGTAACAGTGTCTGTCATCTTTTCAGGTCAAGTAGAGAAATACAATCAGGAGATGGAAGAGAAATCAGCATTAATTATTCAGAAGCATTGGAGAGGGTACAGGGAAAGGAAAAAATTCCACCAACAGAGGCCGTCTCTCACCGAGTATAAAGCAGCGGTCATACTTCAAAGAGCAGTGAGTCTAATACAGCAAAAACAACTCTAGCTAAGGAGCCAAAGTGTTCAGCTCTGATTTTGCTATTGCTGAAAAACGTGGTCAAGTTACTTAGATTTCCTAAGCCTTAGTAAAATAAAACTGATTTAGATACCCTATCCATAGTACTACTGTAGAACTTTCACCACATCATTTATCATACTGCAGTATTGCTATGGTTAATTTTTTCCTCTGTTATTTAGGCTGCTAGTTCCTCAAGGATAAGAAGCTGTGTATTACTTAATGTTGTCATCGGCTCTCAAATTGTGCTTTATGTATGACTGGAGGTCTGCCTTACCTTTTTACTCAGTTGTGTGGATCAGATATCCTAATATGTAGGAATGGTTTTTGTATATTGTACTGTCCTGTGTAAGGGCAGCATATCATATTTGTAAATTTAAATATTTGATGTAGTTAGATAATTATAATACCTCTTAAAGTATAGAATACTGTTCTTAAATAAGCAGAGTAACAGTAATATTCTATTGACTTGGTAAAGCATAGCATGGGGTGCTTTTGTCCAGTTAATGATAAATTTTCCTAATATTCTATTATAATGGCTACAAGAGAGTATAATATAACATGTTTTAGCTGTTAAAGCATTTAGCTTAACAGTCTGTTGTTGAACTTCCTGGTCAATTTTCAGTTTTTCTCTATAATAGATTTTGAATATTTTCTGTGGATTAACAGTTCACAAAGATATTACAAAATCATCTAACAATATAGTAGAATAAGTACTAGGAAAATCAGAAGGGATACCTGGCTCCTTTTCCTTTGGCCCTGTCTAGGGATCTCACTTTATATATGCAACAAACAGTCCTGCACCATCACAGAATCACAACACTCTCCATATTTACCCTCTGCTAAACAAGGTTATCTAAGGCTCAGGGTATCAAGGTTGAAGACCATTCCTTCCTGTAGAAGAACCTTTGCCTCCTTTCTAATACTTTTACTTCATAGCTACCTTTTTGTTGTTTGGTTTCATTTTGTTTGGTTTTTTGAGGCAAGATCTCACTATGTTGTTCATGCTGGCCTTAAACTCACTATGTAGCCCAGGCTGTCCCTGAACTGACAGCGATCATCCTGCATTAACTTCCTGAGTGCTGGGATTACAGGCATGCAGGACAACACCCAGCTAGCTACTTCCTTTTTGAAGACTTTTCCTAAAAAAAATAAATAAATAAATAGACTTTATCTGACAAGAGAATTAGCTTGGCCCTTATGAAATTAACTAAGATGAGCCCAATACTTTGTAAAGGGACCTGCTGAGGTATTCAATCCTTTTTTCCATTTAACAAAATCAATAGATAATGCATATATTTGAAAATTGTAGAAAAGATGAAGTTAAATATCAAAAGAGATGCCTGAAAAAGTTGAAAATTGTCATGTTGGGGTTTGGGAACAGTATTAACTGAGTAGAGAACTATAGTTATTTTGGGACTAACTCTTATAAAAGAGACACTTTAAGCAATAGAGTTACACCAGAAAACTTTTTATGGAAAGGGCCAGGTATAAAATATTTGAGGCTTTGCAGGCCATGCGTTCTGTCGTAGCTCCTCAAGACTTACAGCACAAAAGAAGCCATAAATACTAGTAAACAAATGAGCATAACTGTGTTCTAATAAAACCTTATTTGCAGATATTGAATATTAATTTCATATAGATTCACATCACAAAATATTCTTTCTTTATTTTTAACCACATAAAATGTAAAAAGAAAATCATTTTTAGCTTTCAGACCATAGAAAAACTGACAGCAGACTGGATTTGGCTTATGGGCTGTGATTTGTCAACTATTGCTTTATCTTTTTTAACCACTGCTTTAAACCATGTGAATATGTAACTTTGATGAAAATAAAAACTACAAAGAAAGGAAAGGAGTGAAAAAATGGGAAGAGTAATTTCAAATATGTCCCAAATCATAACTGTTACAAGATTTTTTTATTTCATCAGCAGTCCATTCTGAAGGACATAAGAACATTCAGAAATTGTCAGCTGCCTTATACCTTATTTTATAAGATTTTCTCATTTACCAAGTATTTTTTAGATATTCTATATTGTATGTATTTCTGTTAGCTATGTATAATCAGGGTCCCAGATTTCTATAAACATAGAATTAGTTCTACAGAGATCAAGTAACTTGCCCAGAATCATATAGTTTATAAGAAACTAGAATTGAGGCTAGAATCAAATGCTTTTAATTCCTTATTCATCTGTATTGCTTACTGCAGAAAAAATACATGAATGTGTCCTTGTGGTCAGATTCCCATTGCTGTGACATAAATACCTAAAGTCATCAATTTATAAGGGGAAAAGATTTATTTTGGCTCAAGTTCTGAGGTTCCAGTCCAGGGCCACTTGACTATTGCTTTGTGCCTGTGGTATGGCAAAGCATCAATGGCAAAACTGCTCACCTCCAAGCCCATAAACAGCAGGGAGGAAGAAGAGGCAAGGGTATGCTTGTAGTGACTTAACTTCCTTTCACTAGGTCCCATCTCTCAAAGGTTCCACCACCTCCCAACAGCGCCATCAGTTGGGAACAAAACCTTTAATACCTGAGCATTTACACTGAGGAACATTTACAATTCATATCATAACAATCTTCATAAAAAAATGAAAGCATTAGAGAGAAATATCCAGATGGTCCTGTGTTACATGGTGCTAAAGTGATAGGCATTCACTAGATGATAATATGTATAAAATAGGTAAGTTAGATATCTAGTAAATGCATTTTCAACTTCCAGTATTTTCAACTTAGAGTGGATTTAATTAGGACCTAACCACCTCATAAATTGAGGAGCATCTGTATAGTTAAAAAGTCACTGCCCTTTCTTACTCCATTACAATCCCATCTCTCTCCCTCCTCATACACACTCAGATAAACCATTGTTGCCATAGTGTCACTGCTATATGTTTTAGAGAGATAATAGCTATATTAGGGGAGAGCAATCACAAATCTTTTTTTTCCCCTTCCCCAGGTTCTTAAATTCCTAGCAAAGTGCCATAAGAAAAAGAAACTATCTGCCTCTTGGCAAGGACTCCAAGAACTCACTGATACACACAGAGTTCAACTGAGGCAACAAGTGGATGACTATGTCAGAAGACATCCAGTATGTAGGCTTCTGTGTCATAATATCCATATTACATTATTCCATTGCATGACTTTCACCAACAAAGCAGTATCTCATGTGTATGAGCCTGTTTGTTATTGATGTAAGGTAATTCAGTGGCTTTGCCATATATTTAATGAGTTGAAGTCTTTTTATAGTTGTATGACTGTCAAAGTATAGTCATTGGTGAAGAGGGTTTTGCTTCTCAACAGACTTGCTCAGTCACAGGAAGACTGGCTATTTAGAATCTTGTAAAAGAAGTATATATAGCTGTCAATGAATTTTCATTATTACATGTAAATATACACAAAACTCAGAGACCAGAAGATACATCATTTGACTATTTGCCTCCTAGGATTTTATTACTATGAAACCTTTTCCAAATAGAAAATATATATCTTTGATTATATAAATTATATAAAGCCTTATACTGTATATATTTTCCTAATCATATAAATCTGTTTGTTAGTACATGTTGCAATACATAACGATTATATTCATCTCAGGAGTAGGTACATGTTCTCAACATCTTATTTCCCTTTTGTTTCCTTTCACCTCCCCTCTCCCTGCTCCCCATCTCTAGATTGTTTCTGTTGCCCATTTGCAAATGATCTCTCTACCTCCTTGTTTCTAAATGTCTTTCATTTTGTTTTTTGAAATTATTTATTCTTAGTTTTCTTATCTAAGTTACATTATGTAGTATTTAAGCCTGAAGATCTGTTTTATTTCAGTTAACATAGTCTCAAGTTGTATCCTTTTTCATACACATGCCTCCAATTTATTCTTCATGGCAGAATAGTAGTCCCTCATGTGGTATAATTACTACCACATTTTCTTTATCCGTTCATCTGCTGATGGATATATGGACAACTTCCAAGATTTAGTTATTGTAAGTTGTGCTGCTACAAACATGGGTATGCATGTATTGCTATACTAGAAAGAAAATAGTGGAATTGAATGGAATTTCTATTTTAGGCTTTTTGAGGAGTCTCCAAACTGATTGCCATAGAGTTTGTACCAGTTTACATTCCCACTAACAATGTAGAAGGCTTCCTCTTTTCCCTGCAGTCCTGCCAGTATGTATTTTGGTATTTTTGTTTTGTTTTGTTTTTTGTTTTTTTATGTCACCCACTCATTCTGGAATAAGATGGAATCTCAGTGTTTTAATTTGCATTTCTTTGGTGGCCACAGATGTTGAACATTTTTTCATTTATTTATTGGCTGCTTGTACTTCTTCTGAGAAGTGTCTATGCATTTTAGTTGCCATATTTTCATTGGGTCTTTTATCTATATCTAGTTTCTTCAAGGTTTTTATCATGAACAAATGTTAGATTTTTGTTAAAGAATTTTTCTGTGTCTAGTGAATTAATTTGATTTCTGTCCTTGTTTCTGTTTATGTGATGTATTACATTTATTGATTTGCATATGTTGAACCATCCTTGAATCCTTGGGATAGAGCCTACCTTTCCATGATGTGTGATCTCTCTGATGATTTGTTGCATTTGCCAGTGTCTTATTGAAGATTTTAGCATCTAGAGTTACATTAAAGAGATTGGCATGTGGTTTTCTTTTTTAGTTGGGTTCTAATCTGGTTTTGGAAATAGGGTAATGTAGCTTCCAGGAATGACTTTGGATGTAATTCTTCACTTTCAGTTTCTTTAAAGGGTTTGAAGTGTATTGGCATTTTTTTCTCCCTGAAGTTCTTGTAGAATTTAGTGGTGAATCCATCAGGTTCATAGTTTTTCTTAGTTGGTGTGTTTTTTATTAATTATTGCCTCAATTTTATTGCCTATTATTGGATTACTCAGGGTTTTTATATCTCCCTCTTTCAGTTCTGGTAATTCATATCAGTTTAAGAATCTATCTATTTTTTCTAGATTCTCCCAACTTGTTGAGGAGTACAATTTTTTATACAGTTACTAATAACTTTCTAGATTTCACCAGTGTCTGCTGTGATTTCACCTTTTTCATTTCTAATTGTGTTGTTTTGAGTCTTTTCTTTCCCTTGTTTGATAAGTTTGGCTGAGGGGTTGTCTCTTTATTCTTTCAGTGAACTTTTTAATTCAGTGATTTTTTTTGTATTGTGGTTTAGTCTCAGTTTCATTATTTTTCACTATGATCTTTTTTTTGTTTTGTTTTGTTTTATTTTTTGTACCGGGGATCAAACTCGGGACCTTGTGCTTGCAAAGCAGGCAGCGGCACCACTGGCCTCTAAATCTCCAGCCCTCTGATCTTTATGAATTCCTTCCTTGTAATTAGTTTGGGTTTGACCTGTTCTTGTTTTTCTAGGACCTTGAGCTATATGATTAGATTATTTTTTCAGCTTAGTTTTTTTAATGTGAATATTTGTACAAATAAAGTTCCTCATTTTGTTCTTTAAGTTCTATTATACATTGTTCTGACTTTATTGTTTGATTCTAATAATTTCTTCTGTGACCCATGAGTGTTTAGGAATGTGTCATGTGGTATTCAGATGTTTGTAAAATTTCTATGGTTTCTTTTGTAATTGATTTCTAGTTTCAATGCACTATGATTTCATATACAATGCACTATGATTTTATATTATACATGGGATAATTTTTATTCTTTTATATTTATTTAAAGGAGGCTTCATGGGCTATAATGTAGTCTATTTTAGAGAAAGTTTTTTACACTGTTGAGGTGTATATTCTATTGTAGTAGGGTAGAACACTGTAATACCTGTTAAATCCATTTACTTACAGGTATGATTCAGCTCCAATATTTCTTTGTTAAGTCTTTGTTTAATTGATCTATTTGTAATGATGAGGTATTAAGGTCCCCCACTATGCTTGTGTTGGGTTTTTTTTAATCTTTTATGTCTGGTAGTATTGTTTTATGAAGTTGGGTGCATCAGTATTCAGTACATATATATTTACAATAGTTATCTCTTCTTTTTTAATTGTTCCCTTAACTAATAATGTAATGACCTTCTTTGCCTCTTCATATGTTTTAGCTTTTAGTCTACTGTGTCTGAAAATAAGATTGCTACCTCTCCTTGTTTTTGAGGTCCTTGTGTGCATAGAATGTTTTTTTCTATCCTTTGATTTTTAGTTTATGAATTTCTTTTTGGTTTAGATGAGCCTCTTTTATGCAGCCAAGCATTGAGTTTTGTGTTTTGATCCAGCCTGCCAATCTGTGTCCTTTAATTAGGAAGTTGAGGCCATTTAAATTGAAAGTTATTACTGAAAGATATTGGCTTATTGCTTTTATTATATATTTTTTCTCTTGTTAACTCCTTTATTTTTTCTTATTGAACTGCTCACCCTGCTTGATATATTTATTCCATCAAACTTTTTGACTTTGTTGAATTCATTTTCTCTGTCTACCATACCTTGAGATTTTTGGAGGGCTGGTTTGGTGGTCATGAATTTCTTATGGTGTTCTTTGTCGTGGAATGTCCATTTTTCTCCATCAATTTTAAAAGATATTTTTGCAGGATATATCAGACTGGATTGAAAGTTGTTTTCTTTTAGATCTTGAAACACTTCACTCCAAGTTCTCCTGGCCTTTGAAGTTTGTGTTGAAAAGTCTGCTATAATCCTAATGGGTTTATCTTTTTAGGTGATTTGTTGCTTTTCTCTGACAGTTTTTATGATTGCGTTGGACTTCAGGTATTTGGAATATGATGTATTGTTGGGAGCTTTTTTATTCATTGTAATTATTTAGAGTTCTATAAGCCTCACTTACTTACATGTTGGGTTCTTTCTCCATGGTTGGAAATTTTTCTGCTATGATTTATGTAGACATATTTTTTATTCCATTTGTGCTGTCCTCTGTTTTTTCTCTAACTCCTCCTAGTCTTGCATTAGTCTTTTTAGTATCATCCAGTAGCTGTGGGATCATTTTTCCTTGCTCTCTTGTTTTAAAGCTAACTATATCATCACATGCTTCCATTCTGTTCTTGAGGTCTGACACACTCTTCTAACATTGGTCATTTTTGTTGCTCATATATTCAATAGAATTCTCTATCTCTGGGATTTCTCCTTGGCACCTTTTCATGGAGTGTATTTCTTTGGTAAATTTTTCATTGATTTTTTGTTCTTTTGTTTGTTTTTCTTTCTTTTTTTCTTTTTCTTTTTTTTTTTTTTTTTTTTTTTTTTTCTAGGACTTGAAATATCTCACTCCAGACTCTCCTTGACCTGAGGGTTTGTATTGAAAAGTCTGCTGTGATTCTGATGGGCTTTCCTTTGCATGGGATTTGTTTCTTTTCTCTTACTGTTTGTAGTATTTT